TCGGACACGCATATAACCCTTGGATGTTTCCTTCAAAGTCAGAAGTTGTCTAGCGGATCCACACGCCTTGGCAAGGTCAGGGCCCCACTAAGGCTTGATGTCGCTGCTGTCTGGAGTTACACCAGCTTAGCTCAGACATAGCATGGACATAGCACGGACAGACATAGCATCACCCGGCCTATCGCTTTATGAGAGAGAAAAAAATGCAGGATCGAGTGACAGCAGGCCCGAAGGTCGTCCAGGCTACAGCAGCTAGCCAAGGAAAAACCTTCCTGCGTGTTGAGGTGCCCCGATACATGTGTGCCAGATCTAGTGGGCAAGAGCGTTCACACTACACCTGCCAGCTGGCAAAACACGTAACTTCCGACCGACAGTTCAAGAGTCCAGATCAAACCTGTTGGATAAAATAACATTAGGGCATACCTGGATTTAAAAACTTAGAAAGAACAAAAGAACAGAAAACAAAAAAAAAGCCAGCTGGTACAATCCCAGGCCTTGGTTGAGCTATAAAAGACCTGGTCTACCCGTACCCATTTTATTATATTCCACGCTTCTATTTATACTGGTTGCGCTCTGCATGTGAGAACTAGACCACCACTGCATCTGCCAGTCCCCGTTTTCCATCGGCCGTAACTACACGCACGCCAACCAGGCTAGGTGCAGGCTTGGAAAGAGGCTCCGCTGGACTGGGCGCCAGTTTCGATAATGGTAAGCTGCTTGCTTGGAAAGAGGCTCAGGCAGGGGCCAGTTTCCAGAATGCTCTGGCCAGATGCTGTGGTAGGACGGCTGGTGGTTCGGCGTTTTGCAACTCCAGAGATTCACTCACCTACGCTGCCAGTCTCCAGCCAAGATCGGACCAGGTACCACCCAGAGGTCCCAACCAGAGTGAGCAACCACTGAAACTTTGGCATGCGGGTACTTTCCGGCTGGATGCAATGGTGGTTTACACAGCGAGGGCACGGATGGGATCCAGAGGCCTGTCTCATGACCCCCTCTCCACTACTATCTGATTGCAAAACCTCCCTCCTTTTCATCGAGGCAGCATCCCACTGCTTTCAATGGCTGCGTGGCAGCCTCGGTATCGACCCCTACCTAATCGTCGCATCAGCACACACAAGCATACTCAACAAAGAAAATGCAATCCAATCCAGAAGACCACATCGACCGCGCATTCTGCCAGAAAATAAAGAGGCTTTATCTATCCTTAACTGGAGGTAGCACCTGTCTCTCTCTCTCTTCTTAGCAGGAAGCAGCACCTTCCAAGCAGGCAGCACACATCCCTGGGTGCTCGAGTACGAACTCAAAGACCATGCACATTTCTCCTGGAGATAAAATTGGTTCTGCTTGTGGAAATTGACACCATGGTTTTGCTGGCGGCTGCCAACAGCAAGTTACGAACTTGGCTGCGCTCAACGTGTCACCTTCATTTCCTCTTGCTCTTCCTTCAGGGTAAGCTACTGTCTTTTCCACAACATAAGGCACGGTGGCCATTATGCCTGTACCTGGCCCGAGATTGCCTGGACCATGCATTCAGGCTATTATGACTGTGCCTGGCCCGGAATTGCCTGGAATATGCATTCGTTGTGTTCAGAGGTATAGATGGAAGTGTCCCTTGTTAACAACGGACGTACCTTCAAAAAATCTTCATCCTGATAGTGTTGTTGAAAATTGGAAGTTGTACCAATGGGGCTAGCTCAGTTGGTACACGCACTCTGAACTGTTGAAATACAGACCTGAGTTCGAATCCCAAAGACCTCAGACAAGTAAATAACTCTGAAATTTCCCCGGGGCTAGTCAGTTTGAAGATGACATCTCAAGACCATTGCCCTTAAAAAATAATAATTATGATGGAAGTTGAAACTAGTCCCCGAAAAGGTTTTCTGCACTGTGATTTGTCCTCTGAAAGGGTTTTTTCTTTTTTTTTTTGGCTGTTCTTTTGCTGTTTTCTTTTCCTTTTCCCTTCAACTCCCATTTGTTAAGGTTAACTCCCATGTGTTAAGGTTAACTCCCATGTGTTAAGGTTAACTCCCATGTGTTAACTTCCGTGTGTTAAGGTTAACTTACTTTTTTAAGGTTAACTGACTTTTTTTTAAGTTAACTGCCATGTGTTAAGGTTATAACCAGTCTGATGCCAATTAACTGGAGCGGTTTGAACTCAGGCTGCCTGATGCAGGTACTTTAAGCAGTTAAGGTCAACTCCCATGTGTGATTGGCTATTGAGGTTAACTAACATGTTACTGCCGTGTGTTCAGGTTAACTATCATTTGTTAAGGTTATAACCAGTCTGGTCCCAATTAACTGGAGCGGTTTGCACTCAGTCTGCCCGATGCCGGTACTTTATGCACTTAAACCACCAGTACTTCCTAAAGTCGTGCCCATTAACAAGCCATGATTCTAGGAATCGTACGGGCCCCTACAGGAGCGCCCAAGTTCATCCGACTACATATGTTTCTACTCTTTCTTTTTCCCGCGGCGGATAGCTGGACCTAGTACTGGTGGTTTAACTTTCCAAATGGGGGCTACATTAAAAAACCGTTTTTTTTTCCATACACGTTCCAATTGAGGCTATATGAACGACTTCGTCATCAACACCTTTCACCTTATTTTAAACTCTTTCAATAAATTGAAAAAGAGACTTTCAGTGATGTGTAGTACATGTAGTGTCATGTACCCATGTGACGAGGTGGTTGTGGTTTAACGACCCTTACTTCAGCCTGAAGTTTGATTCTGATCTAAGGGGACGGAAGGGGAAGGGGAAGAGGAAGGGGAAGGGGAAGGGGAACCCAGTACTGGGGCCTTAGCTCAAACTGGAAAACAGGCAAAAAGGAAAATCAAACAGCCGACTCCAAAGTCAATTACCAAATTTGGTGTGAACTTCGGAATGGGTCAATGAAATCACTGATGAGATGAGAGACTCAACCCCTGTCCACAAAGGGGGTTCCTCTCCCCCTCCACCTTCCCTCCCCCTTCCCTCCCCCTTCCCTCTCCCCCCCTCCTGTCTTTTTCATAATCAACGGAAGGGGGTTCTGGCTTACGGTTTTAGTGCTTTGACTTTCTTACCATTGGCTGTTTGATTTTCCTTTCTCCCTGTTTTCCATTTTGCATTTATTTTTTGTAGGTTTGTTTTCCATTTTGCATTTATTTTTTGTCGGTTCATTATATAAAGGAGGCGAGTACGACCGGAATGGTGATTAATCACCAAAACAATTCTACAAATTCTTTGTTCGCCTGGAACGGTTTATTTATAGAGGAGGCGAGTATGACCGGAATGGTTATCAACTGTGTGTGTGTGTGTGTGTGTGTGTGTGTGTGTGTGTGTGTGTGTGTGATAGTTTCCTGAGAGGCAATTCTTTGATGATTTGCTTTTTCTTTTTCTCTTGCAGACCATGAAAAAGCAATACATATTAAATAAACAATCCTACAAATTCTTTGTTCGCCTGCTCGAGTAGCGTGCACCTTTGATGCCTTCTTGGGTATCTATTATTAGCGACAGCCTGCACAGCCTCTGTATTCCAAGCGGTCTGTTCTCAGCAAATCCAGGCAAAGAAGAATCTCGGTGTGTGCGCGCTCCACACACTCACGAGATTTGCGTTGCGTTGGTCGAGGCTCACTTCCTCCTTGAGCCATTGTGTCAGTGTGAATGCCTTCTTGGGTATCTATTATTAGCGACAGCCTGCACAGCATCTGTATTCACAGCGGTCTGTTCTCAGCAAATCCAGGCAAAGAAGAATCTCGGTGTCTGTGCGCTCCACACGCTCACGAGATTTGCGTTGCGTTGGTCGAGGCTTGCTTCCTCCTTGAGCCACTGTGTGTCAGTGTGAATGCATTCTGCTTGCTCATCAGCAGAGCGGCGTGAGAAATGCATCTACTGTAAATCGGGGGGAAAAACATTTATTGCGGACTACCATCTGCCTTCCTCCAATAGACTGTACAGTCATTTTCACTGCATATACACTGAGTTGCCCCAAATACACAGCACAGCAGTCATTATTGCTGCATCTAGGCTGAGGGTTGCCCCAAATACACAGCTATAATGACCGTACGAACGTTCTATTATGGGGAAGACGGTAGGGAGCTCCTGTCTTCATGCAAAACGGCGGACATGTACGGTCAAAGAAGAGATCTTGATCGTTTAATTTATAGCTTGGATTGTATGCGCCACCGCTGCAGATAGATATCTCTGCCTATTGGTTCCTCTTACATCATATAGGACAAAATGCTATTCAATTTCATTCCATCATAAAGCACTAGATATGTCTATCTATCTGTCCTCTTTTTCCTTCAAGCAGCGCTGTTCTTTCTCTTCGCCTAGGGAGCAAAACACAAAATGTTCAAAAAATAACACACTTGAGGAGGAGGAGGAGGAGGAGAATAAGAAGAAGAAGAAGAAACTGCGGGGGTGGGAAGGCAACGAAGAAGAAGAGGTCACGGCAAATGAAGAAAAGGAAGTAGTCGAGCAGAGAGACGAGGAGAAGGGACAGGAGAAGGGACAGGAGAAGGGACAGGAGAAGGGACAGGAGAAGAGACAGGAGAAGAAAAAGGGGCAGAGAGGAGAAGAAGAAGCTGGGGAGAGTGCAGGGGAAATGAAGAGGCAGCAACAATCGGGGGGAAAAGGACGAGGAGAAGGGAGAGGAGAAGAAAGACGAGCAAGAAGAAGAAGAAGAAGAAGAAGAAGAAGAAGGACACGGAGCAGGTAGACGAAGAAGAAGAACGACAAGGAGAAGGGAGAGGAGAAGAAGGAGAAGCAGGGAGAAGAAGATGGAGGACGAGGACAAGAAGGAGGAGGAGAAGAAGAAGAAGAAGAAGAAGAAGAAGAAGAAGAAGAAGAAGAAGAAGAAGAAGAAGAAGAGAGAGGAGAAGAAAGAGAAGCCGGGAGGAGGAGAAGAAGAAGATGATGATGATGAAGTCAGTGGATGGATTGCCTTCTCCCATCAACAGAAGGGCTCGATCCGCGGCCAATGACCAGCCAGCCTAAAGGCAGGCAGGCAATCACAACTGACCTTCCGTCTCTATCAGCTTTCCGTTGGAGAGAGGCCACGCAACTTGTAGCAGATATCATTATGATAGGTCTTTAACGTCTTATAGACATGCTGCTTTGTACAGGCTGTCAAAATGCCAAAAGACAGCAATCAGGCGTAAGAAGACATTCGCCTGTGCATCCCATCTCTGTTCGAACGCAAAAAACATCCCAAGCCCTACCTATTTCCCATCAGTCCCTCC